GGTTAAGATCCTTTAATGCCAGCATAGATCGTTACATAATCACAGGTTGTTAAGGTAAAAGAGCTCCCAGCAGTTCTACGTTATAATGGCAGCATGGCTTGCATGTTTCACAGTTCACAGCTGTGTAGAATCAGCTTTCAGTGCTACTTCTTTACTTTGAGTCAAGGGCAGTTTACTACTTATGAAATATAATGTACAAATATACCAGTTTATTTACACATGGACCAGCATTCAAAAGTTTGGAATCACTGTTTTCAAAAAATCTGTCAAAAAACAATGTACAACCCTGTGCAAAAGTTTGTGCACCCCTGGTCAAATGACGTTTTGTTGATTTTCTACGTGAAAATAAGTCAACACGTCCTTTATAGAGACACACTTACTAACACACGATATCTATTTATTTACTGGGTTTAACATATTATAAAATAAATAAAAAACATATAAAATGCACCATCTCTTTTATACAGGCCATATTTTATGTTTTATTTTTGTTTCCAAATTGTTAAATTCAAATAAACAGTAGTCACACATTAAAATATGCAGAAGTGTGCAGAGGGTGTGTTTACTTATTTTCACTTAGAGAATCAACAAAACATGACATTTGACTAGGTGTGCACAAACTTTTGCACACAACTGTAGAAAGTGTACAAAATGATTCTATTGTGATGCTGCTACTCTACAACTTCACAGATTTTAAATCCTTTGTAGGAAGTTGTAAAAAAAAGAAATGTGTAATTGCACAATTGAAATATGCTATACATTTTAAACAATTTGAAAAATTTCAATATTTGTTCCCATAGTATTATTAAAAGTGTACAGTACCATTAAAAGTTTGAAATTACTTGTTGTCACTTGTAATAATACAAAGAATTATGTTATAGAAAAATGTATAAAATGATTCAAATACTAATATAACAATTTGAATATGTGATATTAATACTGATACAAATTCTCAAGTTTCAAATCATTTTCAAAAATAGAAATTTTAGATGTGCCCAGAATGAAGAACAGAGCTGTAGATGATTCTAAAATGAGTGAGAAAGCTGTAGAATGTAGAAAATAACTATAGTAAGTAAAAATAAATGATCAGAGTATTTGATTTATCTTTTAATAACATCTTGTTGCTCCCAGACAGTGTAAACATTAATGTTGAATAAAATCTGGAAATGCCTTCTGCTGCCTACTTTATAGCATTTTGTATAGTGTGCTGTTTAAGTAATTATTGAATAAAAAAAAAAACCAATTTATTATATAATAAGTGATTCCAAACATTTGAACAGTAGTGTACAAAGTTTTTTCGGTACATATTTTTAATCTATTTCTGTATTTTGTGCTCAGCTCATGTGTAGGGTACATTTATACCCTGGTACATTTATAAAGACCTGCTTATGTTTTTATATGGTTACATATTTTTTCCTTTATTTTTATTCCATTTTATTTGCTTAGATACTTTGGAGATCATTCATGCTGTTGTACTGCTTCAATTTCTGGCCAGTGTTGTGTCAAAATTTCACTGCTAACTATGTGAACATCTTACAGGTCAGTGTGAATTTTAAGGGAATATATTGTTGCTGTTGAAATAAACCTTGTAGCTCCAATGTGGTCACTTTTTAGATGACCGAAAAAAATGTCTTAACTTTAATGCACATTAATGCACACAGATTCCATCCCAAGTCATTCTGAACTGTGGTCTATTCATTATGAAATGTTTGCACAACGTTAAGGGCAGCAGGAATTTTCAAAAAGCATAAAAATGTAAAAAATGAACAGCAAAAAAAAAAAGAGAAAGAGAAAGAAATTTATGTAGTTTGATGTTGGCAACGATATGTACATCCTAGAGCTTTCTCATGAGTATACAGCATATACGGTGGGGTTCCAAAGCCTGAGACCCCTTAAAAATCTTGAAATAGTTTTAGAATTTTAGAAATTTTTATCAAAGAAAATTAAAGACAAGCAAAATAAGAGAGAAATATTTAAGATTCTGTTCTATTTTTAAGGTTGTGATTAAACTGAAGCAAATTTGTGACATGTTAAGGTTTTTTTTTTAGTCCCATGTCTTCCATTGACGAACATGTTCAGGTGACTCTTGGATGGATTTATTCAACTCATCAGAGGCTTTGGCATAAACTTCTGAAGTCCAAAACTGGGACAAACCAAACACTGAGAAATATTAAGAAGTTCTGAAATGTTTGTAAATTCAGAAACTCATCAAATTTCACTAAAACCATGAAAAGATTGTAGTAAATTAGAAAAAGATGCAAAGTAGAGGCATTTTCTCTCACGGCCCCAGGTTCTCTTGGTCCTTTGGACTCCACTGTACCTGCGTCTCACGCAGACTGTATTTCTGTAAGACCCGTGGCCGGGACAGAATTATGTAATCCATTCATGAGAATTACAGTCGTGTGCAAAAGTTTGAAAACCCCCAGTTAAATGATAAATATTAGTGAAAATCATCCTCTACACAGTGCACATTTTTTATTTATTTGAGTTTAAAATATTTAAAAAACATTTAAAATATAAAATGTGCTATAACTTTTGCACAGGTCACATTTTATGTTTTTGTTTTCCCCAATATGAATATATTTGATTTAGCAAATAAAGATTAATTGTGCATTAAAATTTGCAGTGTTCTCTGTAGAGGATGTGTTAACTTTTTTTGCTTATCCTGTCAGAAAATAAGTTTCTGTGCAGGTAAATTTTTCATTCATCAAGGTAAAAACAATGTAAATGTTCCCTCAAAGGTACAACAGTGGTTTTAAGGTCTGATTGTGAACCTTAAATAAGTTTTTCCAGGTGAAAAGTTCGTATTTGTACCTTTTCATAACCGAATGATTTAAAACAGAACAATAAAATAAAAGCCTGGAGACGAGACGGGGTGTGTGGAGTCAGTACAGCTTAGAGAATATAATATCAGTGGATTAAGGTACAGTTATGCTCCCTGATTAAAGGTACTGAGATGTATCCTTGAGGGTCCCACCCCAGTAACCAGAGGGGGACTGTTTCATACCTTTATTTCTGAGAGTGTAGAAAATCAACAAAGCATGTCATTTGACCTGGGGTGCCCAAGCTTTTGCACACAGCTGTATAAAAGCTGTACAGTAGAGCTGTTTGGATGGTTCAACGCTGCAGCTTTGACATATTTAAGTCCCACCATCTTTACTGTGCTTCTGATCAGCCATCGAGTAATAAACAGAGATCAGTACGGGGGGCCGGAGGTGTGCGTGTGTTCTCGGTGAATGGTCTGCGATGAACCCTCAGCCTGCTGCTGTGTGTGTCCTGTGCCGCTGTAACCGGCCTAAAGGTTCAGTCTGTGTTTGTGTCCTGACCTGCACAGGCGCATGCACACACTCCGATCGCGAAACGAAAACAAAAAGCGCATCTCTAACTGTGGAACGCGTCCAGCTCACACTGCTCCAGGGAAACTTATTCATGCGCTCAGGCAGTCATGCATGCAGGTTTTGCCACTGGATACTCATTGCATTTAAAGTGCTGTTATGTCCCCCTTCATACACACAGTGAAGAGATACAGGCCTCCTGCACTGAGGTGATGTTTAGTGGACACTGGACATGTGCCAGTATTTAATAATAGGTTATAGTGACTATTTAACACATATTATTATGGACATAAATATATACATCACTGCATTTTAGACAAATAAATTGCAATTTCTGCACGTTTTTAGATACACAGAGCAGAGCTGGTCTAACAAGGTCTCACTTCGCTGTCACTTTGTGATCCCATGCTTTATTTGATGTTTGTACAGTTGTTTTAATGTACTATTCGTCTGAGCACCTTCACAGCTCTCGGTAAAGGAGGGCCTACCACCTGCCCCCATGACATGATGCCTAATATAAAACATGATTTGAGAAAAGAATGAAGACTGTGTTATTATACCAACTGACAGAACTGTGTACCAAACAATACATTATTGCTATTTTAAAAAATGACTTTTGCAACACTGTATGTGTATGGCTTCCAAAACTAGAGTTCAAAAACTAATGAAAAGATATACAGAAAATGTGACTCCTAGCAACCACCTGGGAGACCTGAGACACCAAAACTGCCCCCACCAGATAAACAGCACTTTCATCTCTGAGAGAGAGGAGAAAATCAAGCTGCTTCAGATCTGAAAACATCCACAGGTGTTTCTGTCCATCCTTCCACTGTGAGAAGACGACTCAGCGCTATGGGTCTGAAAGGATGGGCAGCTGTCCTGTGGTATTGAGAAACAAGAATAGACAAAAAGGACACTGGACTGGCCACCCCAACGTGTTTGGGGTTCTCTTGGATCGTGAGAAGCTGAGAATGCAACCAACTTCTAAGACTGAACTTTGGAGGTGTTGATAGCTCAGGTGTGCTGGTGTTGGAAATGAACCATGTGATGGCTGGAGGTGTTCAGGAGAAACACAGAACCAAACTTTGTTCTTCCAGCTACCTCAAAAGATATCAAGGTTTTTGAAAAGAAAATATATTTATGTTTATTTGCATTTATCCTAGTGTGGTATATTGTTTTTACGAACACTAGCACACGTTTTGCCAGATTAAATCTGGGACTTTTGTACAGTACTGTATGTTTTCTGACACAAAAAATTTATGAATAACTTGTACTTAAAGGCCGTTTTGACTGAAAATGAAAAGAAGGTTGGTTTTGCATATATATATATATATATATATGTATATATATATATATATATATATATATATATATATATATATATATATATATGCTCTGACTAGACTGCACACACATACACACACACTGATGCATACCCACACACTCAGATTAGACACACACCTCCCTGAAGTTTTGATGCTGGACCACACGGTGCATTAAAAGTGCCAATGCGCCCCTCATACATACACACACACACACACATACACACACAAACACACACACACACACCCATTTACACACATGCTCAACATGCCACTATCTGTGCTATAAGCAAAAATCCATACACATCCACACAACACCCATCTCTGATAAATGAAGTCGTACCTTCATTGTTGGACGAGGCTCTGGAGCCCAGCACCTGTAAGGATATAGTCCACAGGACGAGAGGCAGCAGCCCTGGATCTGATGCCATCGTGCTAATGTGGAGAGAACCTCTCTCTCCCTCTCTCTCTCTCTCTCTGCCTCTCCCTCGCTCCCTCTCTCTTGCTCTCTGCCAACGGAGAAAGCGGAGCGCAGGAACTCAGAGCGCATTCGGCTGACTTCAAAACTGCCTGCCTGCGCTGGGGGAACATGCAGCGCCGGCAGGCTGAGGGGGCGGGGCCAGCCCTGTCCGTCAGCACTCGGCAGCCAATTACAGCACACGGCTTGGCACATGCACAAGTGAAACAGTGGAGCACTGAAATCCCCCACCTCTTCTGTCTCAGCTACACATATGTTAGTATGGATTTATATCCATAAGTTTATTGATCGTAACATAACAAAAGGCTTTCTGTTGAGAATACATGTCATAATAGATTTCCGTTTATGTTTGAGGACTTCATCTACATGCAAATGTCCAGCTAGGTATGCATATTTTATGCACATTGTGCATGACTATATGCCATTCTTTACGAGTTTTTTCATTTCTTGTCAGGGCCAGTAAACATATTAAACAGAAAATTATGCCTCAACGAGTAAAAATAATATTATTTTTTTCAGATGTAGTGTTCACTCTTTGCCTTTATTGCAGCTTTCATTCTTTTTCTTAGGAGATGTGCTTTCATTGCAAAGAAATCTGCAGGTATATTTTCCTACATCTCCTAAGTTCAGTCTTAGAAGTTGGTTGCATTTTCTGCTACATGATGCAAAGTAATCCCAAACACATTCAGTAATGTTGAGGTCTGGACTCTGGGGAGGTCAGGCCACTGTTCTGAGAGCACCAGCAGCCTCTCTGATTGATTTGTGTGTGAATTTTTCTCCTTTTTTGTCTATGTTTTTTTCTCAGAGTTGTCTCCTCACAGTGGAAGGATGGACTGAAACACCTGTGGATGTTTTCAGACCTGACATAGAATGGGGCTTGATTTTCTCTCAACAACGAAAGCTTTAAGCTTTATTTGCTAGTTTTGGTGGTCTACAAGTTCTTGCATGGTTGTTAAGGGTCCCATTCTCTCCATATCTTCTTTTCACTGTAAAAAATGGTATCTTGTCAAGTAAAATGATCATAAAAATAGTCAATAAATCTAATATTTCTCCTGTTGGTATTGTTATACGCTTAATGCTTGCGCTTTTGCTTGATTTAAGAAATGTGCTTGAAATCAGCAATATTATCAGCCAGTATAGTGAAATAATTTTACCTGATAAAATTACCTAAAATGAGCAAATAATGTCTATTATACGCTTATCTAACTAGTTCTTCTAGCTAGATAATCTTTTAATAAGTCCACAATCATCTCAAAATGGTAAATATTACATATATTGACTAGATTTAGGATTATTTTACTTGCAGTGTGGAAACTCACCTTTCCCCTTTCTTTATGTAAGTGGATTATCATGGATCTAATCTCCTCAGAAATATCTCTTGAACAATGAATAATGTACTTAAAAGCTGTTTAGGCTGGAAATTAAACGAATGAAAGGTGGTCTCTGACTTTTGCACAGTGCTGTATTAAAGAAATAGTGTCAGTTGCCATAAACAACTTTCCTGTATGAAGAAAAGAACAGAAAAATCTTTTTACTCTTATAATGAACCCCAACAAGCACATGCTTCAGCAACTGCCCATTGGTTTCTATTATAATTTTTTTTCAGTGGGTTTTCTTATCTTTTCTAAGTACATGGCGACACATCAAAATTACGGTCCATGGTAACGGACTGTGTGCTGCAGATGTTGCAGATAGAGACCCAGTTGAAAAACACCAGAGTATTCCTTTAATGTAACAAACTTACTTTCCATTTCTATGATAAATCCATTTACATAAGTAAGCGCCACTTTATTATTCAACTGTCTTACCCACCATAAGAACCTTCAAACATTTTCAAACTCAAAAGAATCTAAACTCTTTCATGCACGCATTCATCATCTTAACGGGGAAAAGGTGAAAGAATCTGTTTGTGTCAGAAATCGTATTATTTACTTCACACGTGAATGAGAGGTCACATACAATCAGCAGAGATCAGATGGATTTCTCGTTTCATAGCTCCAGGCGCAAACATGATGCATATTGCATATTGGATTATTGTTCGCTTCTTATCGGACTTGGTCTCGTGGCCACATCTGATGCGATTAGTCCTTCATCCTTTGTTGGGAAAATGTCCTTTCTATACGATAACCTTAAAAAGGCAAAGCAACGCATGATCCTCTTAATCAACACATCAAAACTGAGGTTTGTTCAGAAATGTAGCGCGCAGTAATTGACTCGCTGCACTGTGGGCATTGTATGGATGTTTCTGCTGTTGGTGGGACGGCAGAAAAGCAGAATGTTTTTCAGATTTTCAGCCTTTGACTCAGTACAGTCAGCAGATATTTCCACCCGTACTGCTTAACATTATTCCTCTGATGCTGCCGCTCCATTAAAATGGCACAATTACACGCTTGGCATGTGAATATGCATGACATGCTTCACTGTATGGTTGAATTTTTGACTGTCAGTGTAAAATATACTGAAAAAGATCTGCTAATTAAAGCAGAATTAGAGAATAATTAGCATACAGAACTAATGATACAATTAAATTGCATGTCTGTGTTGCTCATTTGACATGCTGTTGGTTTTCCAGCTCATATTTCAGCTTTCATGGCAAAAAAAATGTCACTGTCTTTGGAATAAAGTTCTATTCATTCATCATCAAACTGCATCATGAGTGAATTCCAGACTGCAAACCTCAATTCCAAAAAAAATTGGCACAGCAAGTGAAATGCAAATTAAAACAAAACAAAAAAAAAAGTGATTTGCAAAAACTATAGAATGAGAAAGTCAGTGTTATTGTTTTTTTCTGAAATTGATGCCTGAAAGAAGAAGAGCCATTTTGTCCTTTCAGTAAGATGTACTAGTATAGGATAGAAAATATAATATAAATGAAAACCTAGACTTACTTTGCTCTGCTTTCAGCTCAGCTATAATCACTTTTCTTGTATCTCTGGCAGGAAACTTTTCCACAAAAGTAGAACAGTTTCTTGTAAAATGCCTCTCAACGTTCAATTTTTTACGAGGCTGAAGACGCTTCTCATTCACCAGCTTTAGTTTAAATTTTCCCGTTCCACCTTAAATGGTTCCTGAGGTGCCAGAATGTAACTGCTGCACCATTTAGGATGAAACCATAAAATTCAAACCTTTTCCAGCTCATATTTCAGCTTTCATGCCAAAAGAAATGTCACTGTCTTCAGTGTAAAGTTCTATCCATTCATCATCAAACTGCATCATGAGTGAATTCCAGATTACAAACCTCAATTCCAAAAAAAAGTTGGCACAGCACGTTAAATACGAATTAAAACAAAACAAAAAAAAAGTGATTTGCAAAAACTATAGAACGACAAAGTCAGTGTTTTTGTTTTTTCTGAAACTGATGCCTGCAACGTTCCAAAAAATAAGAGTAATTTAAGACTAGGAACATTGTGAAAAGTTTAAGAAATATCTTAAACAGGTGATGCAATCATGCTTGGGTATAAAAAGGTGAATCAAAGAAGCCTAGTCCTTTTGAGCAAGGATGGGTCGAGGCTCTCCAAAAATTGCACCAGCAAATAATCCATCAGTTTAAGAACCAAGCTGTTGTACAGACTTCATGCTCTATGATAAATAATAACATCAATTGATTCAGAGAATTTTGAGAAATCTTTGTAAGTAAAGGGCAAGGCTGAAAACTACAACCGAACGTCTGTGACTTTAAAAGCCTAAGATGCCACTATGTTAATAACTGGCATGCTTCTGGGATGGATATCACCACACGGGCTCGAGAATACTTTGAAAACCTGTTGACAAACACGCTGTTCACTGTTACAGCCACAAACTGAAGTTAAGACTAACTTGTACTATGCACAGCGGAAGCCATATACCAACAACACCCAGAAACACTGCCGACTTCTCTGGGCCTGAGCTCATTTGAAATGGATTGATGCACAGAGGAGATGTATATTGTGACCAAACTTGGAAGTTATGGATGTGGTGTTGAGGGCCCAAAGTAAAGAAGTAAAGGACCATACAGATTGTTACCAGCATAAAGTTTAAAAGCCAGGGTCTGTCATAGTATGTGGATGTATCAGTGCACATGGCATGGGTAACTTGCACATCTGTGAAACCACCATTACCACTGAAAGATATATACACATTTTTAAGCAACAAATATTGCCTTCTAGACAACGTCTTTTTCAGGAATGCCCATGCTTATTTTAATATGACAACAATAAAGCCACATTCTGCTCATGTTACAAGAGCATAGCTGTGTAATCAGAGAGCGTGGGTGTTAGACTGGCCTGCCTGCAGTCCAAACCTGTCTGAAAACATGAGGCACATTATGAAGTGCAAAATACGACAACAAAAGCCAAGCATGATTGCACAGCTATAGATTTGTGTATGGCAAAAATTTCAAGCAGAATTTACAAACTTTTGCTTTCTGTTTTCAACAGCACACATACTGTCCCAACTGAGGTTTGTAAGACTATAATAAACACAATAATAAGGACACAAAATCGAAGCAAATTGCTTGTGGATCTGCTCTGTTGTCCGCTCTCTGCAGCTGCTGGAGAGAATGGAGAGACAGAGGAAGGAGGGAAAAGAGGTTGGAGCCAAAGGCAGGGGCCGCTGCCTGCCTGCCAATGCAGTACACACACACATACACACCCTTGGAATACAGGGAAGAGTCTGTCTGGCCCACAATCGCCACCTCTTTTCACCCGGCCGCCCAAAGCCCGGCTTCAAACACGCCTATGTGCTGGGCTTTCACTGCCAAGACATTTGGACAGTGCTGCATCGATCTGTATGGCCAAAGTTTACATTTACTCAGAGTTGGATATATTGTTTAAGCTACCGTCATGCAATTGCAGGGCTTGCAAAGTAATTGACCCATGTCCTGCCCACAGAAATGTCCTTTTTTTTTGTCAAAATGTTCAAATTATTCTATATTCTATGCTGTCACTCCCAAGTGACGCAACTGCCCCGATCAGAGATAATCAGTGATGCCACAGCCGTCCAAGAGAGCATTAATGGACTCATTTTCTCTGAGTAGCATGACCCCCCAACCCCACCCCAGCCACAATGCTAGGCAATGTGGATGTCTGT